AAAACCAAGGAAGGGAATTAAAGTTCATGAGAAGAAGACAACGACAAAGAATTGCCACACGAATAAAAACAAGAGTTAGTTATACTAAGAATAAGAGTTTTTTTGGAATAAAGGAAATCTGAAAAGTCGAAATAGAAATGGAAGATAGCGTCATAGCAGTAAAAGAAAAAGAAATACAAAAACTAAGGAATGAAAGTAAACAATTAGACGATGAGATTGAAAGGATGGAAAAACAATGCACAGAAGATGAAGAAAGGAAACATAAAACAGAAAGAGACAATGAAGAATTAATGAAAAAGGTGGAAGAGATACTCAAGATGCTTGAAACTAACAATGAAGAAGAAATGGAACAATTTATTTTACAAGCACAACATGAAGTAAAGAAAAAGATTTACCAAGAAAATGAAATAATAGAAGGGATGAAGAGAGAAAATGAGGAACAAGAAAAAGAAAGGATGGAAAGAATTAAAATACTGACAAACACAGAGGAATATCTTATTGAGAAAATAAGAGAAACTAAGACAATGTATGAGAAAATAAAAAAAGAGAATGAAAAGGTTTCAACAAGAAATCAAATGATGGAAAAAGAAATTAAAGAAATAAAAGAGGAAGTGAAGGAAAGAAAAAGACGGAAAGAGGAGTTGGAACAAGAAGGAGAAAAGAAAGAGAAAGAAATAAAGGAACTTAATTCACAGAAAAACATCATCAAAAGTCAGATAGAAGCAATGAAAGAAGACAAATTAATAAAACAACGTTCAGAAGAAAAGGTAAAAGAATTAAAAGAAACAATAGAAAGGCTTAAATGTCAAATAGAAAATGACAAAGTCCAAGTTGAAACATTAGAAATTGAGAAAGCTGAACAAGAAGATTATAAATGGGTTTTATTAGAAGATCCAAATGCTCAAAAAGATTATGTTATAACATTACTTCAAATGTATGAAAATATGTATGGTGTAAAAGTTAATAAAAATGAAGATGAAATAATGCAAGAATTGTATAATCATCATATTGGAATTAAAGAGTGGAATAAATATGTTAAAGCATTGTTTGACTCAATTACTAAAACATATCATTAACTCTTTTGTGTTTTTTGATTTTAAGAATTTCTAAAACAGATAAAGAATTTGAAATTTATAATTGCACCGCTCAAAAAATGAACAAATCAAAACAGATTTATGAAGGGGAATATCTCACAGACTCAACTAAAGAATGTTATCAAGATATTAAAACAACATATTTTGAAAAAATAAATATTGAAATGCCTAAAGAAAATAATAAAATAGATCATACGAGTGAAATGGTTGAAGAAGATGAATGTGAAAAACCAATAAGTATAACAAAACCACAAGAAATTCCACGTGATGTTTGTTTAAAGAAAATTACATATATTTTTTTTTGATAATTGAAATTATAAATTACTTATTTTTATAGAACAGTTCATTAGGAGAAGATGTATTAATGCATATGCTAAGACAAAAAGATGATATGGCATGTTCACCTCCATAAAAATAACAAGTAGATGGAGGTACTCAAAGTCTTATATTGAATAGTTTTTGTCTAATTGGTTCATCTATTTACATTAAATAAAAGATTATAAAGAGGATGTTAGTAAGTTATAAAACATTTAATTTCAAAGAAAGAAACAACTAAAGAAAAAATTAAATATACCAAAAAATATTCAAAAATTATAACCCTTTCTTTTGAACAGACTTAACCAATTCACCAATAATTTTATTACCATCATTAAATTTTCCTTGTACTCTTAATGCACGACAATCTAAAATAGGTAATTGTAATTCTTTAACAGATGTATTTACTCTCATTGAATCTACAACAGCTCTTAACCCAAAAATACCAATTTCATTTTGATCCCATTTTAATGTTTGTAATGTTTTTGTAATTTTAAGAAGATTTGCTAATGCAAATGCACCTTTATTTCCCATTCCTTGTGATTGTATATCTAATGAAACTATATGTTCATTCTTAACTAATGAATTTAATACTGGAATCATGTTTAGTCCTAGTTGTTGGTCAGTTTTATTTCCTCCTTCTAAGATTAAATTTTTTAATGAAGTTGCCTTTTTTAAATATTTTAATAATGCTGCCATTAATCCCTCTGTATCATCTCCATTAATTGTTTTACTAATATTTAATGTTTCAATAACAGTGTTTTCAACTAATGCATCAAGAATTTTGCTAAGTCCTTTATCTTTAACATTTGTTTGACTAATATCAAAGGAGATAATATTTTTATTTATTTTTATTGATTCAGCTAATGAATTAATTCCTTCATCATCAAATTGCATTCCTTGTAAATCAAGAATAACTTCTGATGATTTTAAATTTTCAATTACTTCTTTTAAAACAGTTGCAGGAATTGAACAATTTCTTAGACGTAATTCTTTTAAATTATTTAGTGTTGATATAATTTTTGCTAACCCAGTTTCTGTTTTCTTTCCAATTGAAATTCCAGACAAATCTACTTGAACAAGGAAATTTAATCCTTTTAAAACATTTACTACTTCTCCACTATTCTTAACATCTAAATTACTTAAATTTAATTCCATCAAATTAGGGAAGATTTTAGCAAATTGATTAGTCATAAAATCAAGTGATTCATTACCCATTTTTGCTCCTTCTAACTTTAATGATGTTAAAGGTAAATGAATTTTCTTTTCAAGACATTCTTGAAATCCTTCAAAGAAAGATGAAATACTTTTATCATTAGAAATACAATGATTTAAATTGATTTTATTAATTTGATATTTAACTATAATTTGAGCTAATGATGCTAAAGCTTTACTTTCTAATTTATTATTTCCAAGATCTATTTCTTTGATATTATGTGATTTATTCTTTTCAATATAAGCACATAAAATTGTATCCCATTCTTTAATTCCAACATCATTTAATCTAATACATTCTAATGTTTCATTATCTTCTAAGACTTTTTTTAATTCTTCTTCACATCCAACTAATGATGTACTTTCTATATTTAATTTAGTGAAATATTTATTTGTTCTTAATGCACTTAAAACTGGTTGGAATTCTGTTGGAGACATTGCATCATTTTTATTGTTTGGATCAGTAGTATTAAACATTAAACAATTTAATTCTTTTGCTCCTTCAAGACCTTCTTTAGTACCTTCAATAAATGCTTGAACACTTTCATTAATAGGAACTTTCTTGTATGTACAGAATGCATTATAAATTCCACTAAATCCTCCACAGGTATTAAATGTTTGAAGTGAAAATACATTTTTAAAAGCAGCTGATCTATGTGAAGGAACGTCAACAACAAACCCATAAACTCCATCAGCAAAACTTGATTTAAATGAACGTAACATAGCAATAATAATTTGGTCTGGATGAATTGTTTCACCAACAAGTGATGTTCCATCTTTTAATTTGAAACTCATTCCCATTTTATTTGCACTTGTAACATTTTGAATATCAAATACATGAATTTCTTTTACAACATTAAATGATTGGTCAAGAATAACAATATGATGTAATGTAACAACTAAAATTCCATCAATTTTATTTCCATTAATTTCACAACTAAAACTAGAAATATAAACAGCTTCATGCTTATTTTTAATAAGAAATTCTTTTAATTTAATTTGAATTTCTTCTTTAAATTCACCAAATGAGTGTGTTTTATCACTATATTTTCCTAATGACACCATATATTTACAAAATTCTTCACTTATTTCAATTGATGATGTTCCAATAATTTCATCTGCACGTTCACATAATTCTTTATGGATTAAGGCAATTGGTTTCATATCAGTAATAGCAGTTTCTTCTACAACAAGAACAAATGGGAAGTTTTTAGCAACATTAACAATTCTTCTAAAATATCTTTTAAATTTATCTAAATATTCATCAAGAATAACATTTAATGGTAACATAAATGGTTCTTTTTCTTGAATAAATTTAACTCCATTTGATAAGTTTTGAAGAACCTTTGATAATAAAATAAGATTTCTTCTTCCACTCATTGAAATTTCTTTTGGATCATCAACAATACCATATTTTTCTGGTGAAAATATTGCAGGATTAATATATCTTAACATAATAAATGATCCAGTTAAACTATTTCTTGCATCATCTGATAATTCTCCAAAAAATTGTGCTGCATATTCATTAAATATTCTTGCTAATAATTTAACTCCAGGAGGTAATAAATCAAATGAATCAATAACTAAATCAAAAAGTTTTCTACATGCTTTAAATAAATTTTGTTTATTTATTTCTAATTTTTCTTTATCTGTTTCTCTATGATCATCAATTTCAAATGAAATATCACTATGAATAATTTCTTGTACAAATGGTTTGTAAATATCTAATAAATATTTTCTTCCTACTTTTGCTAAAAAACTTTTAGCAACTCTTGTTGCACTTGTATTTTCTCTAAATAATGAATGTGAATCGGTATGTGTTTCAAATTCTTCTTTTAACATTTGTGATACAAAATCTAATGCAAGTCTTTTACTATATGTTAAATTTAATACTGCATCTGCTAATTCTTCTGCTTTATCTCTATTAGAAAACATTGTACTTAATATGTTTGGTGCTTTCTTCATAAAGAATTCAAACATGTTTTGTAATACTGTTAATTCTCGTTCAGAGTAATATAAATTTTCTTCTTTAATTTGTGCTTCTCTTCCATCTCCATATTTTGATACTTCTTCTTCAATTTCACTAATTTCTCTATGAATAAAACTTTCTCTTTTAACTACTTCTTCAACTGGTGCTTTTTGTTTTTGGAATTCATTTGGTAATGTTCCTGCTTTTTGCATTGCAAGTAATTCTGCTAATGTTGGTTTCTTTTCTGTTGTTGTTTGTGTTGGTGTTGTTTCAACTTGTTGTGTTTTAGCACTTCCATTTGACATATCTGTTCCTGCTACTATTTTTTCTTTTTCGGTGTATTGTTTTGGAAGATTACCAGCTTTTTGCATTGCAATAAGTTCTGCT